GCAATCGACCGGACCGGGGAAGGGGCATCCATTGGAAGTCCGCAAATGTCAACGGGTCGAGCTCTTCAAGTCTTGACCATGACGTTGAATCCCCATCGATAGATGGCGGCCAAGCTGCCGAATCGGTTGCCGATGGTGATGAAACCGTGCATGCGGTAGATTGTTGCACGTGGAGCAGTTGGTCCAACGGTGGGACCAAGTGGACAGCAGAGTCCTCGTAAGTGTACCGAGGACTTGCGACATTCGCATCCTCCCCAGATGTGTAGGAGGCCGCTAGCAAGGTGGCCGAATCTGGCGGAGTGAGAGGTGGAGTCGCCTCACCCTCCGCGAAACTCAGTTTCCCGAGTTGATACGAGGCCAAACCTGCTCCTTGCCTTGATCCGGGCATTGGGAGGTCTTGTGCTTGGTGCTGTTGCACCAATAGCAGCAGCCGTAGCGGCCTCGCTACTTGTATTCCGCCTCGGTCAAGTGAAACTTGACCCATGGTGCTGGCTGTCCGTTTCCAGCCGGCGATGCGGTTTTCGCCCTCCCGTTTCCTCGGGACTTGTTGTTGCTTCGCGGCTGGACAACTGCCACTTGATCTCCCTCACGTGACGCTTGGGTGGCTGCCGGGTCTTCCAATGATGTCCGATTGGACTGCAGCGACATGCTGCGGCCGCGGACCAGTTTTCACCTTCTCCACATAGGTTGGCTGCCATGCTGATTTCTCATGTGCAGCTGCCCTATTGGTCTTGATGATCTCCCTTGCCTTGTCGATGATTTCGACGAAGGTTGCGTATTGCTCGTGATCACCAAGCGCAAGGCTCAAGGTGGCACGTGACCGGTTGTAGAAATCGCGACGCAGATGCGAAAATGGCAAGTCAAGGTCGGGCGTTGCCACGATCTTTTGCCATTCCGTGAGCCAGTCACGTGTCGATGTGTTGCCTTGCGTCATAGTGAAGAGGCGGTTGATGGTGAGCGCCGGGGCGTCGTCCACGATGAGCCGCTTCTTCCATAGCCGTGTTAACTCTTCCCAAGAGATCTTATCTTTCAAATATGCGACGTCGACGCCGTGGACGATTGCCAGGTGGTTCAACCAGATCTGGCATCCGCCCTTTGAGTTGAGAAACAACGCGCCGATGTACGCATGCTTGGTGACGAACAGAATCCGAAGTTGCGTTGTAAAGCCCTCCCACCAGAGGACCGGGTCTTGATGCGTATAATCGTCGAACTTCTCGATTTGGAATGTCGGCATCTTGTAGTGCTGCACGGCGTTGCCATCCTTGTTAGGCAGCTGGTGCAGTTGCTGAACCTCGGTCTTCAAGGTGTCCAACTGATTGCTGATGGTGGCTGGTGCAGCGAAGGTACTGATGTCGCCAAGCATTGCGACTACGTGGTCAACTCGTTCCTCCAACTAGCGGCTAGAGGGTGCACTGCTGGTCTCGCCAGCATTGGGTCTTGGTGCAGATTGCTCCAAGTCCTGTACACGGGAGTCAAGTGCCCGTGCTGCATCCTCGTGCTGAGCCTTGTGGTTCCGCACGGCCCGCTGGAGGTTCGCCAACTCAAACTGCAGGTGGTTACAAGTGTAAACCAACCTGGTTATGAGCTTGGCCATGAATTCCTTGTGCTGTTCTTCCGGTGTCGCGTCGTCGTGCTCCTCGGATGGTTCAAAATGCCAAAACTTGAGCCTTTCAATGCTGGTGGTTTCATGCCGCTGCAGCAGATCCTGGGCTTCCTTGCGGCGTGCTTGGGTATCTGCGTCTGCTTCGGCCTGAAGCCGCTGCTTCTCAGCTGTTGCCGCCGCTTCAGCCTGTAGGCAGAGAGCCTCGGCTGCCAGCTGGCGCTGTTCCTCAGCCGCGATTAGTGCGAGCTGAGTATCGAAACGCTGTCGGTACTCGGCAATGGACTCATTTGCCAGTTGGCCTGGCATGCCCAAAACTGAGCCCGTCATGGTGGCGGGGCACTGCTGATGTGGCACTGCTGACGTGGCATTGTTGCTGACGTGGCACTGCTGACGTGGCACTGTGCCAACCCGGAAATGCATGCAAAGGGTGGGTGGGAGGGAAAACGCAGGTAGGGAACCAACCCAACAATATTTTCCTCCCGGCCCTAATCAATAGATAAAAAACAAAAAAAATAAAAGAGGACTACTTCCTTTTTTTTTTTTTTTTTT